GGGTGGGTTAATTTTATTATATTACAGTTAAATATTTAATTTAATATAATAATTCTGAAATGTAATTAATTAATTCAAGAAAAACCTGAGTTTTGTAATTTAAAACTTTGGTACCTGATATTTAATTTGTTGAAAGTAAACCCCTGAACCATAAGCTTTTCCCTTAAAACTATCGTTGAATTGAAGTCGTAATTTTAGAACTGTTGATTTGAATTCATATGGACGTACAGGGCCGGCCATGTGACGTGGTGGCTACGACTCAAGCCCAAAATCGGAGGGGGCCCATTTTTGGCCCAATTTTTTTTTTTTTAATTACGAAAGCAAGAAAATGGAAAATATGTTTTCATTCTTACCCCGTCTCTACTCTACTCAACCCTGACGCCGTCATGCTGACGCTGCGACTCCTCCAATTCCAACCAGACTGTCGACCAGGCGATGGCCTCATTCCTTAGGCGGCTTTTTCTCTTTTTCTTCCATTCCGTTCACTCTTTCACAAATCAAAACAATCCAGCCATTTTTTCAAACCTAATAGTGCGATGCCGCGAGGAGTCCTCAATCCTCCGCCAGTCGCCACTGTACATGCATGGAAAGTTTAAAGAGCTTTTCCGTTAGGGTTGTCTATGGGTGAATTTTTCAAGAATTAGTTGTATTGACTGTAGTGAGTTGTTTATTCTAACTGAAAACATAAATTAAGAATTACGTAAATACAAAAATTTTGGAGGCCTCATCAACTATCTCTTCCTACAAAAATCCAGCCATTTTTCTTGATACAATGTGAGTCTGTATTATCAACCAAATTTCTAATATTTGTCGTACTTTGGGCTGCTGAAATATCTCTTGTGATAGATATTTTGAGATAGCAACTTTTGCCAGACCTGAGAATGCTTTGAAGAGAGCTGAAGGTGATTGACAAGTAAATTCTCAAGTATATTTCCTTTTTTGTCATATCACTCCAAGTGCAATATGTAGTCACCTTTTTTCTCTTAAGAATTCTTTTTCCACGTGCACATTTTTCTTCATTATATGTATGCTTCAAAAACTTTAAACTGGCCATAACTCTAATTATGTTACATATCATAAAGATTCCGCAACATTTTCCCCAAGATTGAATATCTGTGTTTTGGTTTCCTATCTATGGTTTGGTTTCCACTTTCTGATTTTTGAAAATAGTTATATAGGATTTTTGATTTCATAGGATTCGTAATGAAATTGCAATTTGCAATAGGATTCTGAATTTAAACACAATAGATTAATACAATAGAATTGTATATTTTTATTGGTGGTCGATGTTAAATTTTTATTTCAAGCTTGTAAGTCGTGACGTTGAGAGTGTGATTCCATTATTTTTATCGAAATTCTACTTCTCAGAAGAGTGATGACTTGCTCTGACTTGTTACTGAATATATTGAAAATGTTTGAACTATTTTCGACTTATATAATGGCAGCCTGGTCGACTTATATGATTAGTTATTGTAGAATCAATTGCAAGGACACGCGTATTAACTATATTAAAAACTTTAATTGTGAAATAATTGAAATGTTTTGTAATTATCTTTTAGGTTAATCATTGGACATTAAATATAAATTCATATACCACACCTCCTAAATATGAGTTTGAAAAAAGGAAAAAAAAAATGAAATTGCATTAAAAAGTCAAGCAGAGAATAATACATTGTATGATTTTACATTTACATTAATTTTGATGGGCCCAACTTTTTCATTTTGCCTCGCGCCCCAAAAATCACAAGACATGCCCTGTGGACATGTCAACATTTCAGTTCAAATGAGAACCAAACCATATGGAAAAATTGTTCTGTTTAAGTTTCAATAATTAAAAATCACTTGAAATCAAATTAGAACGGTTCAATCATTTTAAAATAAAAATATGTACATATTACCTAAAATGTATAATTTATGAGTTCAATTAATACTTCAACAAATTTACTTGCTCATCGGGTTTTAAAAACATGGTTTATGATTCTGAATATATATTAATTTAACCTAAATATTATTTGCACCAAACTATCCGAGTCACCGAGTGCCAAATATGCTCAACGTTCACTGAGGAAACTAAAATAAATTTAAAACTTTGGCACATAAAATTTTTTTTTTATAATCGTGGATGTCCGAACCAGCTTGCGCACACCTCGACTAATTCCACGGGGCCCTGAAGTTTACAGAGTACTCACCTCAGTGGCCCTAAGGGGACTCGAACTGATGATCATTGGGAAGCAAACCCTATAACTAAGCAATTGGATAAAACAATAAATGAGTCAAAATTAAAAACATTTCTTTGAGTATTCAAAAATACAAAAAACAATCCATTTTGAATACACGACTTAAGGCCACAAAACTCGACTCGAAAAAATTACAATCAGGTGGAAGAGAAAAATTGTAAGCCCCCATCAAGGTAGCAGTTACTATCTTGAACTAGAAGAATATTTTCTTTTGGCGGGGCGTGACAGGGCAACTTCTCAGCATGATTCGAATATCATATGACAGCAGCACAAGGAAACAAATAGCAAAGAGCTAATTACTATATTCATACTTTGGCAAATTAAAATTAAAAAAGATTTAATGGCGAAGCTTTGCAGAAGCTCCTTAAAGGAGAAAAAGTGGGTCAGTTGAAATCCAATATTGAAACAATTTTCTTACACTTTGAGCAGCCGAAATATCTCTTGTGATAGACATTTTGAGATAGCAGCTTTTGACAGACCTCAGAATGCTTTGAAGAGAGCTGAAGGTGATTGACAAGTAAATTCTTACGTATATTTCCCTTTTTTGTCATATCACTCCAAGTGCAATATGTAGTGACCTTTTTTCTCTTAAAGAATTCTTATTCCACGTGCACGTTTTTCTTCTTTATATGGATGCTTCAAAAACTTTAAACTGGCGATAACTCTAATTATGTTACATATCATAAAGATTCTGCAACATTTTCCCCAAGATTGAATATCTATGTTTTGGTTTCCTATCTATGGTTTGGTTTCCACTTTCTGATTTTTGAAAATAGTTAAATAGGATTTTTGATTTCATAGGATTTGTGATGAAATTGCAATTTGCAATAGGATTCTGAATTTAAACATAATAGATTAGTACAATAGAATTGTATATTTTTATTGGTGGTTGATATTAAATTTTTATTTCCAGCTTGTAAGTCGTGACGTTGAAATTCTCAAGGGTGTGATTCCATTATTTTCGTCGAAATTCTACTTCTCAGAAGAGTGATGACTTGCTCTGACTTGTTATTGAATATATTGAAAATGTTTGAACCATTTTCGACTTATATAATGGCAGCCTGGTCGACTTATATGATTGGTTATTGTAGAATAAATTGCAAGGACACACGTATTAACTATATTAAAAACTTTAATTGTGAAATGATTGAATGTTTTGTGATTATCTTTTAGGTTAATCAATGGACATTAAATATAAATTCATACACCACACCTCCTAAATATGAGTTTGAAAAAAGGAAACAAAATGAAATTGCATTAACTCAAAGTCAAGCAGAGAATAGTACACGGTAGGATTTTGCATTTACATTAATTCTGGTGGGCCTAACTTATTAAGTTTGCCTCGCACCCCAAAAATTACAGGACGTGCCCTGTGGACATGCCAACATTTCAGTTCAAATGAGAACCAAACCATATGGAAAACTTGTTCAGTTTAAGTTTCAATAATTAAAAATCGCCTGAAATCTAATTAGAACGGTTCAATCATTTTAAAATAAAAAATATTACCTCAAATGTATAATTTATGAGTTCAATTAATACCTCAACAAATTTACTTGCTCATCGGGTTCTCAAAACATGGTTTGTGATTCTGAATATAAATTAATTTAACCAAATATTATTTGCACCAAACTAACACCGAGTGCCAAATATGCTCAACGGTCTCTGTGGAAACTAAAATAAATTTAAAACTTTGGCACATAAAATATAAGAGTATAACTAAGCAATTGGATAAAACAATAACTGAGAGTCAAAATTGAAAACATTTCATTGAGTAATCAAAAATACAAAAAACAAGCCATTTTGAATACAGGACTTAAGGCCTCAAACTCGACTCGAAAAAATTACAATCAGGTGGACGAGAAGAAAAATTGTAAGGCCCCCATCAAGGTAGCAGTTACTATCTTGAACTAGAAGAATATTTTCTTTTGGCGGGGCGTGACAGGGCAACTTCTCAGCAAGATTCGAATATCATATGACAGCAGCACAAGGAAACAAATAGCAAAGAGCTAATTACTATATTCATACTTTGGCAAATTAAAATTAAAAAAGATTTAATGGCGAAGCTTTGCAGAAGCTCCTTGAAGGAGAAAAAGTGGGTCAGTTGAATTCACTGGATCTCCCCATCCTCACCTAGTTCACCATCTTCAAGCTCCTCGTGATCACCATTACGAGAAGATCCATCCCTATGTTCTCTTTTGCGTCTTTTGTACCTACTCTCGCTATCTGATTCAGGTGAATATGTGTGCTGCAACAAAAGAGAAAGGTGTCGAGTTACTGCAATCGACTCATCAACAAAGAAAAATGAGAAGGGAACCCTTAATTCAAAATACAGATACTCAAATACCTTTCTTGACTTTTTCCGGTCACTGCCATGACGACGGGATTTCTTTGACTCCTCTTTATCATCCTTATCGGAACTGACATCATCACTCTGATGCCGCTTCCTATGTTTCCTCTCCTTGTCCCTTTCCCTCCTCTTGTCGTCTATGTGCCCATGATTGTCTGTGATATCCATATTCTCGCTCTCTACTTCATCTTTTTTCAAGTGTTCTTTCACCTTGTCTTTTTCTTTCTCGCGCTCGTGCTCTCGGTCTCTGTCTCTGTCTTTCTCCTTCTCGTCCTTCTCTTTTTCTTTCTCTCTATCTTTTTCTCTCCTCTCTTTGTCTTTTCTCTTCTCCTCCCTCTCTTTTTCCTTTTTGGCCTGCCAAGGGTACATGTATAAGGAAATAAATACCATCAAAATCAAGAAGTTTCAAGAAGTAAAGACTCGGCTAACCTAAACTGTAAACCACTACAAAGAATAAGCAGCCACAAGAAAATACAAAGAGGGGCCAGCAGACTCAACACCAAATATGTCATGTCTACTTGGAGACACAAAACAGAGGGAAAAAGGCCCAAAAACCACAAGCACAGACAGAAATATATTGAATTCTTGCAAATTCCTTTCCAAGACAGATCAGATACAGCCAGATGACAGAAAAATCTAAACTCAAGAACAAAGATAAGCTCATGATGATTGCCCAAATGTCTAAATAAACAGAAAGGAAGCTCGGTTACAAAGGTTAGATTTGCCTCCTTAAATCCAATATTATGCATTTCATTTTAGCAGGTACCGAATTTAAGCCAGACTTAACTTAATATCAAGGGTAAGTTCACAACTTCTTTCGTCAGTATTAAAATTCTCAATTTCCGTAATCTGCTCCCAATTGTCTATTTCTGAAAATCTTTTCAGAAGTTCAGTGGCAAACACAAAAGCTCTTATTATAATTCCATGAGCTCTTATCATATCAACATTAAAGTATAACAACAATTAAATTTAAGCACCCAGATTTCCGTCACCTTTTCCTCCTCCCTTCTACGCTCCTTTTCCTTGGCTTTCTCTTGCAAGCGCCTAACATATTCATCAAATATCTCCCTACAGATGCTTTCTTCTCCAATGGACCTAAAATAAATGCAGGCCAGAAAACCGTGCATAACTTTTCAATGCTCTAGATGATATCAAGATAGCATCCGAACCATTAGAATGCACATCTTATCCAGTTGAGAAAACAGTACCTGTACTCAGAGCTATCCTCCACAAGTTGTTTGCATTCCTCCCAACTCGACAATGCATTTACTTCCTAAAGAAATAACGAAAAAGGTCAAAGTTGTCAACAGATGCCACGAGGAACCTCAATGATACCAAATATAATCCCCTCATCTTGCTGTCATTGCAGATCTTACAGACCTTAATAGTGCTCAGTTTATCAGTGAAATCTTTGGCAAGACGTTTACGTTTCTTAGCTTCTTTCTCTTCTTTCTCCTTTGCTCTCTCAATAAGGTCCTCGTATATGAGCTGCAATTACACAAAAACACTAAACTCAGAAACAACCAAGCTACGTCCCAGAAGCTTATTATAAATCAACAAGACCAGGTAAGATGAAAAAAATTAAAATCTAGTAGGAACCTAGCAGGTATAACTTAGAAGTCTGTCAGCTAATATAATGACAAAAAGATGAGTCCAATAGCTGAGAATTAGAAAACTTTCACCAAGATACAAGGTCGTAAACTTGCCCATATACTTAACTCTCTCTATTGGAGGCCTGTATATTGAATGTGCAAGTCATTTACTAATTGTCTATGGAGTGTAGATTTCTAAACCTAGCATGACTGTTTTAAGTTTTAGTTGACCCACTTTAGGCCTAAATCAGAATTGAATGTTAACCATGAAGAGAAAGCTTTAACAGTGCACTTCGATCAATATAATGGACATGGTCAGTGAACTTTCATATCAAATTAAGTGCAGACGAAAATATCGTTTTGCTCATGGGACCAACTAAATATTTCAATGATGTTACATTTGAACGAGACAAACTGGAGCTGAGAGAAATTTGTTCGAGCGTGAGACATTGCCAAACAGAGGCTTAAGTACTGGTGACTGCAATGGTTGTGTTGAAGGCTGTAGTCAATCATTTGGTTCTGGCAATAGTGATGGTTAAAGTTTCAGGAATTGTCATGGTACAAGAGAAAAGTATTGGTTTGAATTTCTATACACGAGGGAGGAACCATCTAGACTATCATTTTTGTCATCTTCTAAGTTATGCTTTCCTGGAAGCAAAGACGAGGATAAAATAAGGAGCAACAAAAACTCGGTACCTGTAAATTGATGTCAGATACTGAAAATAAACCACTGCTTGGTTCAATAGAGGACTTGAAGTCTTCAATTGTCCATGTTGATGAAACTGTAATCTGGAAAATAAGCAAAACATAATTCAAAAAATAATATAATACACACACACACACACAGAGCATACCATATCATTAGATAGAGAAACAGAAGTCATGGAATCCTACCTTTTCCAACTTCAGCATATCTTTTATACGGGCTTTGTCACCTTCATACTGTTAAGTTAAAAAAATGAACACTTAGTGTTGGTTCAAATGACAACACCCCTCCATCTCCATAAAATGAAAATTAAAACAATTATATACAAGCAAAAAGTATTTGTTGGCAACTATACATTGTTTGAATGTATCATCAGCTACCAGAGCTTGAATGCTAAAAAGCTATGCATAACTTAATGGACAAAAAACTCGAAATATTTTGTTGTCTGTCTGTGTGTGTGTCTATATATATATCTACTTATTATTTACAAACAAAAGTACATCTTAATAAAAATAATATTATGATTCACATTTGAACATGTATCTTCTAGCTCCACTACTTCCCCACACACTGATGAGAGGGAAAGTGGAGCGACTTGTAATTTCTGATTAAAATGGTCTTACATGACAAACTAGGTGATCAAACACTTGGAACAGTTACCAAATAAGATCGTGGCTCATGTAATCATCAGAAATGAGAGGTAAACACGTAAAAGACCATTAAATGATTAAGTCTTAACAGGCCCATTGAAGACTCCATGGAACAGGTAGGCAGTTGAGAGGCATTCACTACCCAATAAAGCTAAGCTATCTCTACATGTCTAGCACCCCAAGGGCAACAAGAAACAAAATAGATTAACGTAGGACTAGAAACAATTCTTCCAGGTTCATCAGTTACATAAACATTAAGACTTCCACCAGACCTTAAATGTAAGCAAACTATTTAGTGAAGTTGGAAGAACTTAACAAGGGATTACATCATAAAAGTTATAAAGATAGGATATACGTTGGTGAGACTACAGAATTCAATCGACTGCCAAATTTTCAAACTGTTGCAAGAGAAAAGACTCCTTTCCAAGGTGGAAAAGATTATCACAAATGAAGAGAAAAAAAATGGAAACCAGACATCAAAATGACAAATAACATACTAATTACAAGAACCATATGATAGAAAAAATAACCCCATAGCAGAAGAAAGTTGACCGCAAAGGCCTCAGCCTTGGCCACTTGACCAAAGCCTCCACGTAAAAGTGATCACTATCAAGTACCTTTTTCTCTAATTCTTCAACAACATCCTCAAACAATTCCTTCGGCTTAGAACCAGAAGTGTTTGAGGCAACAGCCTGGTAAGCTTCAAAATCCTTGACCTAAACAAAAAAAAGGTGATAAACGAACTTTGATGATCAGTAAAATGGCCACAAACTTTTTCAATTGAAAGATATGTTTTAAACAGAATAACAGAACTAAAGTACCTTTTTACAATAATCAAGCCAGTGAGTTTTAGCTGTAAGAGTGCCAGAAGCTATGTGATCTTCCATCATCTTGCGAAATTCATCACGGTTTTTACGCTCAGCTCGTTTCAGTTGTTCCTTTATGTGCAATTAAATAGTCAAAAAATAGAAAACACAAATCATATATGGAACTAACTACAAAAGCGTTGTTTCCTAGAACACCTTCTGTCTCTTCTTCTGCTCATCCTCCTCCTTCTCCAAGTCACGGATATATTCCTGCATTGACAGAAAATATTAGTGGATTATCAGGATAAATGATGCACTGCCCCTGAATCCTGTTCAAGGTCAAAAGCAGAAGACAGGGATAAGCTGAACCACACTATAAAATTATCTTACTCTCGTGAATTAAGAGGGGAAAAAAGGGCGAAGAGAAGAGAATAGTCTAATACATGACTAAGGAAATGCAATTCTAAACCAAAACCAAGAACAAGATTACTGATTGTCCCATTATGCTTAATTATTTACCTGAAAAATATCAAGGCGGTCTATTTTATCAAGGCATCTGCATCGTTCATCTTCTTCCAAGAGATCTTGAACTTTCCGCCACTGGCTATCAACCTACAGACAATAAACAATTTAATTGCAAAGGTCAAACATTTCAAATAGAGATACAGAAGGGCAAGAAAAATGAAGCAAGATGTATACCTTGATAAAGGCACAGGTTTCCAGAAATTGCCTAAACTCCAATCTATTCCGTCGATGCTCCTCTTGAGCCTTTGCCTTTTCCTGAACATGTGCAAAATTGATACATAAAGGGACCAGAATATGCAAGAATCCAGTTATGAACATATTCAGTTACCAGCTATGGAAGTTATCAGATAAATATGTACAGACATATTTTCCTCAGTTAATTGACCCCCCACCCCAACCCACAAGAAAACACAAATTACATACACACAGCCTTCTTTAACAAGCATAAAAGAAGCAAAAAAGAATGATCTATTTCATTTGGGGAACATTGATGACAAGGAAATATTACATTGGTATAAATAATTGATCTAATCTGAACACAACAATCACAATCATGACAAGAATTGTTTACCTTTTTCTGAAGATCTAACAAGTAGTTCCTAAACAGATCCTCACGATCTGCTTCTCGCTCAACAGCCTTGAAACGCTCATCACCTTCAAATGTTGCCACTGCTTTGCTGGTTGATATATAATATAAGATTCAAATAAGACACTCCTTTCCCTGTCATCTTAAGTAAAAAAGAGATGTACCTCCAGCGGGTGGATGGTGTCAGTTCTTCACATTCCTAAGAGGAAATTAACAACTCAAATTATTCAACCAATGAGACACACACAATGCAAAGAGAACGGTTAAGTAAATGCAAAAGCAAAAGAAGTTTCATTGCCAACAGCACAGCACAATAGTTAAATAATAATTAAGTAATTAAAAAAAGAGCTGTCCGTGTATATCTTACCTACATAATTTTTCCTTTTCCAACTTATACAATCACTATAATTTGGCTATCTACATGTCACACTAACTATGTCTAATGCCTAAATTTTATTGATCTCAGAAGCACCAAATGAAGGATTGTCTTGAAAGAAAGATATTGGTACATAAAAAGGCATTACGTGACATCTTGGATGCGTAATGATAGTAGCAGCAATAAAAGAAGCCATGGCACCGACAGCACCAAGATTCCTTAAAAAGCAAAAAATACCAAAAGTACTTGATGCTTACTTCCAACATCTTTGTGAACTCCTCCTTAGCTTTTCTCTGCCTGAGACGTCTCTCTTCAGCCTCCAATTTTTTTCTTTGCATCAAGTACTATCAAGTAAGACATAAAGACCAATTTATAGTTTACACAAAGGAACTGAACAGTAACATATTTTGATTTAACACTATGTTCAATAAGTCAATCACCTCATTGAACACTTGTTTCCGCTCACCGAGAGTTTTCAGTGCAGCATATCGTTTGTCATTAATTATGACTCGCATAGCCTGATATGGCATCTCAATATCAATTATTAGCACTTCAAGGACATATATGGAAGACCAGAGGAATACATTAAATTTACCTGCTCCCAACTCCAATCAGCCTCAACATTTGCAGATTCTAATAGTGCTTTGAATGCATTTTTTGCCTCCTGAATAGAAGTGATATAAAACTCATAAATCTCTCTCCTTCTGTCAAATGTGAACAGAAGTATTTCAAATTTCATACCTGCTTGTTAGCATATGCTAAGGGTTCATCATCCAATGGTCTCTCTTCCACTGGCGTTACATTTATTTTTCCAGCAACAGCCATTCCCTTCTTTGCCTCCTGCAGTAATCATACTCAATTTACAATGTATTAGTACTTCCCCACTTGCTGACTCCTCCATAAATCAAACATGTTTTCTTCAATTAATGAACCAATTTTACAAGCATATTAAAAAGGGAGAAAAGCTGGCATTCAACCACAATTGCACCAGATGAATGACATTTCCAAAAAACGAATCAAAGGACGTGCAATGTGAAAGGCAGAAAGAAATTTAAAAATTCAATGTACTCTCTTATTGAGCTTCCTCACTCTGCTTAATATAGGATGAGTAGCATAATCGCAAATAGAACTCTTTAAGAGGCCATCCATACCTCAATATCCATCAAAGAAGCCCCACCTAGTGAAGCCTGAACATTGGAGGATGAACTTTCCATGTTGCTCCTGAAATGGACAAGCAACTATTGAAGGGATTGAAACAAATTGTGAAAGCCAAATCTATTAAAGAATTTCATACACAGGTGTTGAATTAGAAGGCGATGGCACAACTGTTTCACCAACTAAGGGCACACCAACTGCACTTGTAGGAGCAGTGTGTATCGTGGGGGTGGCTGATGATCCAGAAACCATCACTGGAGAAGCACTAGTATCAGTAATGGAGGCAAGTGGAATGGGACTTGAAGTGACAGGAAACATTTTTGTGTTGGTGGAACTGACTGTGGTGACAGCAGCAGATAATCGTTCAGCAGAAGTGCCTATAGAAAATGGCGGTGCAGTAGAGCTAGTATGTGCTCCCTGGGCAGCTTCCTTTTCAGCCTCTTCACGAGCCATCTAGAAGCAAATATTGCAAAAGTAGGTCCAAAAGAAAAAATAAGGAAATAATCATACAAGAGCATTATTTCTAGTGATAAACCTTCAATTCATCAGGTATAGTCCATTTAGATTGCTTTGTTTCCTTGTTGTAGTAATACCTGTAAAAGGCCTATTTAGCTAAGTTCACAAATATAAATCCAAGTTGAGAAGACATAAAACACTATAATTGCACTCACTTTCTACCCTCAGGAGTTGTGAACTCTTTCCAAACAGTTGAGGCATCAGCTCTCTGTTAAAGCACAAATGCTCAAGCAGATAAGTTCAAATAAGTCTTTCTAAGAAAGTAGACAGTGTTTACATTTCCAGAACTGCAATGCCAGCATTAAATTGATGAACAAAGTTAAAGCCATGTTTGAAATATTTATTAAAATTGAAAATGGAGAGAAAAAGGATGTCACCTGCGCTGTCCATCCAAAATCTATTAACAAATCCAATGATGATAATAAATATATGAGACTAACAAAATGTTAACACAGAAACTATGACATGATTCCACTAGAAAAAATGCACACATTTCAAATGGAGAGTACAAATAAATGGTCTCAACTAGAAGCAAACAAGCATAAAAAATTGGAATTACAGTGGAAGACAGAATTTCAGTTCCAAGTCATCATGCACACCCTAATTCCATCCATGAATGTCCTTGCTGTCTATCCAAATAAACTAAAAGTAGAACCTCGACTTCAGAAACAAATGTTCACAGAAGCATAATATTCCTTAACCTGGGAACATACACCAATAACTTTGAGGAGTTATCATTCCTAACTTCTTATAGAACTCTTATGGTCAATTTATTGGCAGTCCAATAGATATCAACATAAAAAGGATAAAAAAATTAAAATGACCACTAATGCACCACTTCTATGACAATGCATCGCATACCAACCACTTTCATTGACAGGAATATATTCAGATAATAATATTGAGTACAAGTTTTATGTTGAAAAAAAAAATAAATAAAAAGATAAAAACTTATTCATGATAGAGATTCTGCAACTAATCTTTTTTCCTTTTTTTTACCTCTTTCGTCGCATGAACTTCCCATAATATATGGAACAAACACAGGAATTCAGTCAAAAGAAGCCACAATGGTCATAATTAATGACGACTTTCCATCATTGGTGCAAATTTATAGAAGGTTGTGCTCCAAACTTTAAGCAACAGTTTCCATATATCAATAGAATCTCAAGGCTACCAATTCTTTTAACCTTGAGGGTTGCTCAATTGGTCAGGTCTTGGGTTTGCTTCCCGATGGTCACCAGTTCTAGTCTCCTCAGGGCCACTGACATGAGTACCCGATCATAAACTTCAGAGCCCCGTGGAATTAGTCGAGATGAGCGCAAGTTGACCCGAACATCCACGGCTATCAAAAAAAAAAAGGCTACCTATTATTTTAGTTAATATCACTATAACCTTTTGCAACAAACTCCTAAAGAGGCTTTCATTGAAAGATGACGAAGAGGATTTTTTTTTTTTTTTTTTTTAATAACCGTGGATATCCAGGCCAGCTTGCGCGCACTTCGACTAATCCCACGGGACCCTGAAGTTTACGGTCGGGTACTCACAGCAGCTCGCAGCACATTTAACACGAGAATTGTTTACACAATGATTAAAGCAGACTTATAGGAAAGAATTGAGACCATAAATGCAATTTTCACCACAGCAGAAAAGATTCGGAGCAAAAGGATAAAAGAAATTAACAGCACTAAACAGTAACACACATTAGCAAGAGTCATCATACTATGAAATTGCTAGGGCAGTCCATTTGGTATGAGTGTTTTTTTCCCATCTATCCACTTAGGTTAATTGAAACTTGCAATTATGAGTTGAATTTGTACTAGTAGAAGTTCTTGTGCACCATAACTCAGGTTTCATGAACAAAGAAATGATAATAGACTTCCATCATACCAATTGAAAATTAGCATTATATGCAAATCCAATACAAACAGATAAAATCAAATAATACAAATTTGTTATACCTTCAAAGGACCTGCAAATTAGTATCCAAGCGGCAAGCAGAAAGGAAAAAAAAAAATAATTACATAATTAGGGTTGAACATACAGTGAATAGCCAAAAACATACACAATTGTAAGATGGATATCCTACAGAACTCCAATTGTTAGTTGTTGAAACAGACTTGGCATTGAGTATTACACTATTGTTCACGTGGTTATAAAATCAAAGCACACCCTAAAAAAGGCATGTACAAGCGATTTATGAAATTTAAAGGGCCAAATGCATGCATATACTCTTCCCAAGTCGAACAATAAAAATTACAAACATTGTGATATTAATGCTAGGCAACAGAGGCATCAAGAGACTATTTACACAAATTTAAATCCACTGTTACAGAGGAAACTACATAGCAAATTGTTAACAGCCCAGAGAAAGTGAAACAGCCTTCAGAGTGAGAATAAAGGGCAGTTGCTATTTTCTTCTGATTTGCCATGACATCTACAAACCAGTGGAAAAGAAAAGGAAGATATGCATACAATATTACTGAACAATTTACATGAACCTACAAATCTTGATATCCACAAATGAGAGTTCTGTACATTTCAAGCAAGAAAAAATGTCATTTCATTAATAGAAGAGACCACTCAAGTTTTATGAACGGCAACATTTCAAGGAAATGACTCACCTCTAAGGGTGTCATCAATTCACGAGGTTTCTCCCAGCTAGACTGCTTTGTAACTTTGTTGTAAAAATATCTGAATAACACAATTTCCCCTTCAAAATTCCAATTCAGAGACAACTGAATATGAATTGTTTAAAATTTCACTGTACAAATATAAAAATTGCACTAGTAACAGAGTCAAAACAATGCAGCATCAACAAATTCTGCATGGACTAACAATATTTAACACTTGTAAGCTAGAGCTAGTCAGCCCAGTAGCTCAATCTTCCCATGCAAATGGTAGCAGATTAAACCACCATAGTGGTCTACCATTCCATATCTTGACATAATAATCGAATTAGTTGGGAAATAAGAAAAATCTTTACAAGGAAATCAAACTGAATAATTTACCTTCTCCCATCAGCAGCTTCATATTCTTGCCAATCAGAAGCAGTCTGTTGAGTGGTATTAAGACCATTAACAGCCTGAATTTCCAAAATAGGAAATGACTGAGAGGGTCAGAAAAGTATTTAAAATAAAAAAAAAAATTGAAACAAAGTGGAGAAAAATCAGGCTGAAAAAAGAGGTAATTTATTTTCAGGTTGGCAATAAAACATCTACAGAAATTATGACAGAATTCTCAAAAGATTGTATAAATGAATCAAAGGTTATCTATTTATCTGGATCTTCAAAAATAATTTGCCCATGAAGCTAAATAAATAATGACTATATCCTTCATTTGAAAGTTCATGTCCTTGAAATGTTAAACACAAACACAATGGGAAGGTAAAATTGAGATAAAGACTGTCCTGAGATTCATCTAATTTCCACATTTATCCTTTGTTACATGTTAAAGCAAACTAAACATAGCCACACAAAAAGAGAGAGAAAGGATCCAAGAAAGAAAAGGAGCATTAAAAACATAATTTGTAGCTACACATGATTTTCTTAATGACTAGATACCTTAGAAGTGTCCCAACACGCAATCAATTCATGCTGATAACAAATTTTAGATTCATAGCACTAAAAAGTTCTTTATATCAAGGGAAAGTTTTCAAACACAATTGTCTCATTTACTATTACCCCTCTTATAAATTAGCCAATACAGTTACTATATTGGCAATCAAAGATCACTGCATTTTACCATTCGCATCTTCATACATGAAATTGCAATCTGGTGGGTTTTGATATTGATGAATACAAGTTTGGAGATTGAGGTGGAGACAACGGTAGGAGTGAGATGGTATGTAAAATGAATGTAATAAACTAGACCTTGAAACTACAAAATGTAAAATTATCCAGGAATATTTCAATTTTCTTTCCCTTCGGCCATAGTTGAATTCGTTCACAATATTCTAAGCGTTTTGTGTGATTCTTGGAGGCAAATTGTCTGTTTAGTGTTTGCAAGTACATCCATATATAGTTTCTTAATGAAACAAAAACAGCGTAGGTGACACTATTATGGGTGCCCTAAAAGCATCACACAACTTAAGATCATCAGGAGTGAGCTCTCTTTTCTTTTCTTCTTTTTCACCTATTGCATTCTGTAAAACACAGTTAGAAATTGCATAATACGAATAATACAAGAGATGGTCATAGCAACTTATCATACGTAATGCCCATTCCCTCAATATAAAAGTTTTGGAGACGAAATTTCATTATCTAGTCATCCCAGAGGGTAGTTTGACAACAATTACATTAGTTCAACTCATATATGGGTGTCTGGTGTCTGAAAACAAGTATCAATCCAAATGTCAAATATATAAGTTGTTAAATTTGATACGTGGTCAAAAGTGTCTAGACTTCGTAAAGGAAAATGAGAACCATCATTGAAAGAAAACTAATATTAGGATGCTCCATACGACTTATACATAAATATGACAGACAAAAAGCAGACAGTAATTCATTTTCAAGAAGCATTACATATTACAGAAAATTATATAAGACACATCTAATTAAGTTGTTCCTAAATTGCAGTTGATGATTGTTTCGAGACTTCTCACATTTTTTGACTAGACATTTCCATTTCCGAATGGTCAAAACAGAATACAACACGGTAAGTCCCAAGGTAAACATAGGTCCACAGCATAGAATTTTTAACATATTTTTGAAAACGTAGACAAGTGTAATTTTTATATGGGTTTCTTTATAATTTTACAATTTTTCATTTTAGGCAGGCATTTACGTATTAAGGGGCTTGCAGGGTGCATGAAATCAGGAATGCGTGAAAGTTCAATATGTTCATGCTCGAATAATCACAAATTTATCCTATTCTCATACCAAAATGCCAATTTTTGATGAATTTTGTCAAAACCCGGGGTGGGAAAAAAAGACTTTCTTCCAACAGAGATTGAAGTGAGAGAAGGGGGTGGAGGCAAGCAATATAGATGAGATTGCTTTTTTCTACAGCCCACAATTCATTAAAGAACTATAAGAAAAGTTGTAATCAATATATACCACAATTCATTATAGAACTGAAAGAAAAGCTATAATCTATAAATACAGTAAAAAAAAATTTACAATTTGGGGCTTAACTTGTGCAAAAAACTCGTGCGAGTGTAGCATATATGGAGTTTCTAGATTTTTCAATAAAAATTAGATAAGTGAATCATGAGTGAACTATGTTTTAGAAATAAGACTACAGGACCAGGCTGATGGAATTTTATCCACTACAAACATGGAACAGCCAAAAGAGCAACAGAATGCTTTTAACTTCATTCTCAGTAACGTGCTAGATGCAAGACAAGTCACTACAGTTAACCTTTGAATAACACTAAATAACAGATGCTTGAACTATATAACGGTCTTCAGGGAGTTCTCGAAGCACATCAACCAAAAACAGAACTGGCAACTAATGTTAAAAGCACTTGAAAAAGTTTCTATTAAAAGTGAAGCACATCCGGACACTAACCGGCACAGGAACAGCCGTAAGGCCTGTAACCAAAGGTTGCTGACTAGTTTGCTGTAATGGTGCAACAACTGAGGCACCCTGACTAGAGTGCAACCAAGGTTGTCCGCCAGTAGGGCCAAAAGGAGCAGACACCAGGAATGCAGGTTGGAATTGGGAAGTCATGTTCATGCTATTCTGTGGCTGGCCAAAAGATGGAGCGAACTGGAAAAAAATAAAATATGCAAAATGATGCCAATGGCTCTCCAAAACATGAAAAAAAATAAGCTTTTGCCCATTTCTTACAGTGTATGGCGAAGAATATGAAACTCCAGGACTTGGGCCAGTAGGCTGAGACTGTGGCGCAATTGATGTGATAGGCATACTTGGTTGGGCGTATGAAGTTGGTGTAGTTTGCCCTGGCTGGCTAGACTGTGGCAGAAACTGTGGCATTGGTTGAGAAAACTGTGGAGGCTGACTTTGACCAGGAGGCAACCCAACATGTTGTGTTTGTCCAACTGGATGAAATTGCTGAGTGGCAGAGGGAGAGATAAATGGCTGTCCATGTGGCATTGGTGCTGGCGGACGAAACTGTGGCAGATAGGATCGTGATAGGCTTCATAAAATTATGATACACAAGGAAAAAGGAAAAAAGCACACAAATAAAGAAGACCAAATATGGAAGGAAAAATGAGTAATATAACATACTTGCATAGGAAAGGAAGGACCAAAATTTTGAGGGCCCATGGATCCAGCCGCAGGCGGCCAAAGTGACTGAGAAAGAAACAGAAACACAAAAGGAGATTAAAAACCTCGAAAAGAACAAATAGAACTGTTAAACATTAGAACTGCTTATTCTTTCTGTTCTAAAATCAACTCAGATTATGTATTCGATCAAAGGAAAAAAAGACAAAAAAACTCAGATTATGTATTCAGAAAACAGTAATGCGTCGTACTTTAACTTTGATAGCAATTTTCTAACAGATATTTCAAGCAGCAAACTATAACATCATTCTTTTCTACGACTTGCTGCAGTGATTATCCAGCAACCTAATTAAAGAGTTATATCTCCTTTTCAATTGTTATATCCACACCTATTATAGTTTACAAGAAACTATTCAGAACTGAAACATTACCATAATCAAACAAATTCTCACTATATTAAGCCTGAATCCATATAGTACTGTACAACGGGATAAAAAATCTAGAATCAAAAGATACACACTCTTCAGAACAACCTGTGCACCATAGGATGGGGGGTTACTTGCCATGCTTCCTGTACATAGACAGTCTTCCTCAAAACCTACAGATAACACTTCATTTAGCATCATAAACCACAAAAAAAAAAAATTTTAAAAAAAAGCAACTCATATTATTTATATTTCTTAAAAATTTAAATCAAATAAAGGGAGAAGAGCGTAATAAATGGCGTGAAACTAAATTTATTATGCCCCAAAATTTATCTAACCTAAGAAAACCACGCATACATGATACATATACACACGTTTGTATGTTGGGCTCTAATATAATTAAATAAAAAATATGATTTTCGAGAACCCATGAATTATCTAACTCCTAATTGGGGATAATAGAACGGAGACTTGCCGGAAAAGGGATCACAGAGAATTTGAAGCAATATTTGTGCGGTAAAAATCAGTGAATAAACCCTAGGAAGTGGTCGAGTCCGAGTTGATTACAACGGGTGAGTCTCCAGTGGTCGGTTTTCGTGGAAAATTGCCTTGCAGTGAATGGACCGATGTGCAGTTGTCATGAGCGGTATTCGATAGCAAGGGTGCGTTGGATGGATATTATTGTATGGGAAGAATGTATTTTAAATAATTGTATGATGAGAATGTGTGGTTAAAAAGTAAGAAAAAATTATTGATATGATGAATAATATTATTTTATTAAAAAATACGTGATTAAAAATGAGTTTTAAAAAAATAAATTTTTAAAGAATGCGTATCAAACAGTGACTAAAAATGATATGTGGTGCTCGATAGCATTATTACCAGTTGAGACCACCCATGTTTGGATTTCCTTTTTATAAAATTCATTGTTTCAACTTTTATTTTTAATCACGCATTCTCCTGTAAAATAATTTTACATGTAAATTGAAAAAAAAAAATTATCTTTTAACCACACGTTCTCCAACTTTTTACTATTTTAAAATGTATTTCTTGATAAAAATGGAGCCCAAACAAGGGCGAAAGGTTGTTCGAAGAATTTTAAGCTCTATAAGGGCAAAATAGGAATTCCATATACAATTTAATTATAATGAAGGTTATTCATATTTATTCATTATTGCGATAATATTCCTAACTTTTCTTTGTCGTCTTGTTATTCATAACATTCAGTTAATTAGAACAAATTATTATTTAAATACTCTATTAACGTAGTTTGAAATGAGCAGCAAATATTTTGTCAAGCTATTATATTTATTATTTTTTTCCTTATTTAAAAGTATGAAGGGCAAATAAGTTTCTTTATAGCCAAAGGGCATACTTATAAGTTTTTATTTCACTAATTTTCGGTGACAACGTTTATGAATGATTAAAAATATTGATACTTTAAAAAATACCCTTAACCGGTACCCCAAAACTCCCAAACAGACCTAATGGATTTTTTGGACAGAAATCATCTCAAAACAAAATGTGCTAATTATTGAAACGTTGATGATAAGGATGTATTGAATTTAATTTGGGGATATTATCATGATAATGAGTGAAGGTTAAAGACCTTCATTATAGTTAAAATATGGTGAAATTATGAAAGACTTGGGTGTGAGCGTAGCTATCCTAATTTTTTTCCGTTGCAATTTTTTATCCTTAACAACTTCTTTTCTAATAGTTGCTATTTTTTTTATAGAGATTTAGGGTTTGTTTAGTTTGTATTTCAGTTTTAAGAGAGTGTATGGTAGGAATTCTTGGCCAATTCTAATTGATATTTTGACCGTTTGTAGTGGTAAGTGGGACCCGCCTGTGAGAAGGTGGGTCAAATGTTGCGGCTGACATGATCTCTAATGGTAGGAGAATTGATTTTTGTGGCCAGGAAAATTTTCATCAGACATGCCCTAAGTTTTGAGTTCATTTTCAATTTTCTATTTTGATGTTTATTTTAAAATTGTTAAAAAGGCATTTGATTTGTCATTCTAAAAAAAAATATTTCTCAAAACAAAAAACTAGAAAATACATTTGATTTAAAAATTTGAAGATTTATTTTATGATATTTTACTGAATTAATTTGATTATTCAATATAAAAAACAATTTTATGATCCAAGTAATATATAAATTTTAATCCATGTTTGGTAATCATTTTTTCAAAACTCTTTTTTTATCATACTCATTTTCAACCATACATTCTCACAATAAAATATACCTCACATAAATCCAAAACTTTTCTATACTTTTTAACCATATATTCTCCAAAAAATTACTATTCAAAAATTTATTTTTTATAATAAAAAATGGTGTCACACAGGGGCTTAATATTAGAAATTGTGTACAAGTTAGAGTCAACATCAAAGATGAAGTTTGTTGCAGGAATTTTGACCATTAGTATGATACTCTATCATGAGCTCAACTATATGAGTGAACTTTTGTCATTGTCAAAGATCATTTCTAATACGATATCATAAGTTCGATTTTGATTATGGACGACGAGGACACAAGGCATGCAAGCATAAATTGTTGAATAGAGGAAGGTTTCTCTAAAACTTCCTACTCTACACCGAACACAAGAATTATGAGCTGGATGATGATAAGAGTTTATCATTCTCAAGGGAGAATTGATAGATTCATATTTTTGATAATTTTATTGAACTAAAAATTGAGAAGTATAACAAACAAGGTAACCCTATGTACCACTTTAATGAATACTTGACCAAGACGAATTTGAAAAAGGCGAGTCCAATGCTAAAGTGTCAAGCATTCCATCTAACATTGAGTATCTGAACATAGAGATGGAATATTAAGCTTCTAACAAGGTCAATTAAGAGTTGGCCACAATTGAAATTAGTTTTCCTTGATGTTCGCTAGAAGCTATCTAGGCAAAATTTATGTTACTAAATAATATAAGGTATCAGGAAGGAGAATCATTGAAAAGTTATTTCGCTGGCCTTAGTGCCTAGCTTATTACTGTGAATCCGTATGTGATAAAAAGCGAATGATGCTATACTAAATGGATTTTAGATGGAAACTCCCTTTTGGAGGAATGTTCACAATCAAAACCCTACTATATATCACTAGCTCGTCATTCTTATTCAGGCTGAAACTCTTACAAAAAAAACCATAGAAAACACAAAGAAAGTATAACAAAACAGAGAAGCTAAAGGAAAAGAAGAAAGAGAAAGCCCCAATGCATGGGCAGAGGCTATTAAAGCCATACATATGCTTCAGGGAACTCAAATCGGATGTAAGCATTGTCACATGTCCATTCATGAGCAAAAATTGAAACCTATGTGTCACCCCTCGAAGTTTGCAAGCAAAAGTTTTGAAAAGTCCACCACACTAGGGACCATGAAATAGAAAAGTCATGCAATAAGTAGGAATGCCCAACAATGAAGCCAGTAGAGGTGTGCGCACAAAGTTCATTCCCCTAACCAAAGGCCTTCCTAGAACAACCAAAGGAAATGGTGAATACTACAAAATGTAAGGATAGTACATGCACCGATGGTCCAGATCATCAGCCACCGGTCAAAGAGATTAACACTATCGCTGGCGAAACCTATGTAAGAGAAGGGACAATGAGTTATGTTGTTATTTGTGCAACAACAATGATAAATATTATATCATTAACGAAGAAGAAGAAGAAGAAGAAGAAGAAATAGAGATTTACATGGTTTAGCATTTGGCCTACATCTACGAGAGTGAAGTAGATATGATTTGTGATAAGTGTGTTTTTTTCACACTTATTTAATACTTGAACTAAACATATTATTGATTAAATTAATGAATTTCTACTCACAATGTGTAATTTATGTTTTTGTAGGCCAAAGATCACCCATGGAAAGAGAACAAGACAAAATGGAGAGAAAATAACAAAATAGGCAAAAATTTCAAAGTTTGGGAACCAAAATTATTATTTTTTGATAGTTGGAGGACCGACGTGCAATTTCTGGAAAAGTTGGTTGCCAAAAATCTATTTTGGCAGAGAAGACTAGCCGCTACACATTTTTAATTTTGTTTTGAAACTTCGAGGACCTTTTTGTCATTGTTTTGAAACTTGAGGGCTTGGGGTGCAAATTACCAATTAGGTTTGAATTAAAAACACAATTCAGCCCTATTTTGACTATGTACACCCGTCCAGCAGCTGGAATTTCTCTCTGCCTCTTCTCTGTGGCTTCCTTTTGAATTCCTTTTCTTTAATTTTCTTTTTTTATTCTTCTTTTAATTTCTTTTGGTATTTTTGGACAAAGATTCGAGCAAGTGTTGATTGAATAACTTGGAGAAGGAGATTCATTGATATTTTCTTTATCAATAAGTTTTTCTTTTCCTTAATTTATTTTCCATTAATGAGTTGTAAGGATTTAATTGTTATTTTTGGGTATTTCATAGGTAACTATACATATTTGTGATTGGGGGTAATTCCAAACTCGAGTTATGATTTTTAATTAATTTGTGCCTTATAGTTCTCTTAATTAATGTGTTTAATCCATTGATTTATATGTTTATTTTGTTTTTCTTGATTGTTTATGTGTACAACTAAATGATTGAGTTTGTTCAATGAATGCTATTTTAGGATTTATAGTACGTAATCACTATTTATTCTAAAACCTTGTGGCAATTATATTTCAATGGATTATGAAGAATTTTCAATTGATTGTATGTGGATTAACACTTAAGTAAGTAAATCGAACTTGTGAGTTTGCTTTTAATTCAATTGATCTCTTTTATCGTAATACTTTTATTAAATTAAATCTAGAGAGCTTGTTCTAGGTTGTTTAATGAATAGGGTTGAGTAAAGAGCTTGTTTTATTCAACTAACATGTAAGAAGAGATTGAGATAATTAAACTTGTAATTATTCTCGAATTTTTATTAATCTAGAGAACAAAAATCTATTGTGTAATTGATATGAAAATCATTCTCGTGGTAACGAAATATCCCTTCAATCACATCTTCACATCTTTGATTTAAAATCTATTTTGTTTATTTCCAAATTCAAGTATTTTCTATTTTGAATTTATTGATTCCCTTAGTTCAACGAACCAAACCCCCTCCAATTAAATCACTTTAGTTTATAAGTGTTAAATTCAATTTCTAGTTTGCAATTGATTAAATTGAAACAATTCTCTGCGGGAAATGACCCTTACTTGCCATATTATTATTTAAGACAACACATTTAAAGCTAAGTAAGGAAATTAGTTGGTACCTCATTTTGAGCGTATCAATTTTGGCGCCATTGTCGGGGATTGTTCTATTAATTTGTTAATCGCAATATTTTGTTTTTGTTATTATTTTTCTTATTTTTGTCATTTTCTTGTTATTTAGGTTGTGAATGAGCAAAAAGTTTACTACACACTACAACCTAAGATCAAGAAAAGAGGTCAACACATTGGAAAGTGGAGAAGACATTTCTCCAATTGAACTTCTAAGGTGATTGAACATTGAATCTTCAAGTGAGTCCGAACACATAGAGTCTGAAATGGCGGATGCAAATCGAACATTAAAAGAACTTGCAGCTCCAACTTTTGTTCAACAACCGCTATGCATTCAATATCCTCAACTAGAGGTGGGATTTGAACTAAAGTCCGGAATGATTCATCTACTTCCCACATTTCATGGATTTGCTGGAGAGGATCCCAATAA